ACTGGCGTGTGCCCAACCCATCTCCATTTTCTCCTATTATATTTGTCGAGCGATCGTCTCTTGCTTGTTTGTTTGTCGCCAGCCAGAGTTTACTGTTGCTAATTCTTTCTCGCCAGCTACCCGTTTGGTCTTCAGTATGGAGCCAGAGAAGTGAGAAGCTGTTGATAAAAGTCTGTAACTTGCTGAAAATGCTTTCTGTAACACGCAGTGCAAGTTTCTGACCCGTCTAGAAGCAGTGACTGACTTCAAATTTGTGCTGAACAGAATCCGAACCGTGTTCTTGATGCTGTGGAGTGCACAAGATTTCTAAACTGGTTTCAGATTGATGAAGGCGTATCTTGCCTGTCCGATTTCGCCTGGCTTAGACATCTTCATCCGCTCTGTCTGCCTGCGGCTGAAACCGTACTTCCTAGATAAGAGAATGAAGTAACCTCTCTCAAGTCTCTCCCGCTGATGGTGATTGGTGCTGGTTGGTTGTCTTCATCACCTCCCTCTTCTCTGTGTTCACCTATGTTCATCTCATTTCTTAACCTTCCTACTAACCTATATATCTTAATCTAATTTAATCAGTAGTATGTTGATTACTAACTTAAATATCATGGATAACGACAGATGCTGTTGTACTGACCAGCTAACGTGTACATGTCTGTGTCGTCGTGCATACATATTGAGGACTCATAGATAATAATTATAATAATAGCTTTATTCTAAACAATGCGTACTTTTGTTACAAATATGGAATTTTCAGCATGTAACAAAATATTGTATCTAATTTTCTCATTACAGGGGCAATAATTAAAATACGATATTCACATTAATAATACTGTTTAATAAGAAGTGAATATAAAAATGAATCAAGTGAAAATATTAACAATAATGTAACAATGAGAACAAAGACAGTGTCGTTCACTTAGAGTTCCTCAGGAAGTTGTTCATCTCCTGTCTTACAGACCTTTCTCATCTAATCAAATGCGTCTCAGTCAAATAAGCTATTGTAGAGTTTTTACACTTAGTCATCCGAGCATATAGTCTTCCATAGTTGTCTCTAGTTCTACGCAGCTGATGAGATGCAAGGAGAGAGTTGTGTACGGAGAGGATGTTCAGAGTCTGACAAGATAATATTTGCTAATTCCTTGCAGGAATCCATGTGTCTATCTAGAATAGTATTAACGAGTTGGTCTAGCTTAATGACACCCTACTCTCCCTACTGACACCATTTTAGTGCCCTTTGCAGTATAACAAAGTATTTCTTAAGTAGCTCAGGAGAGATTAAAGGTGGGGGGAGCAGTAAAAAAGAGTAGGAAGAATTAACAAATTTAGAAAGCAGAGACTAAGTGATACCAAACTGTCTTAACTTCCATACATAGAAAGTTAGACGGGATATCGTTCTGGAAACTAACATGATGTGGGGGGAAGACCACGAAAGGTGATCAGGAAATACATAGTCCAAGGCATATTTAACATTCGATTTAGTTTCAACTCATGTGGCACATATAGTAGTGGAATCGTGCCAACTGACCAGTTCGTGTAAGTTGCGCTTGCGTCCGAAAGTGAAATTAACCACCTGACATTTGGAGAGATTTAGCTTAACACCATTTAATGAGGATCACTGACTAATTTCTGACAAACAGTTATTTATTTTGGAATAGTCTGACCGAGAAGTAACCGCCGGTATAGAAACAGTCGGATCATAGGCGTACTTAACAAAATTAGTTTCGTCAGACAGAATGGGGCAAATAAATCATGTAAGAAGAAGGAAAACAGAAAAGGAGAAAACCACAACACATTGAGTGGGGAACACCAGCTAGATCTCTGCACCTTACAGTTTGAAAACACATTACATTAACTAATACAAATCGCCTAACTTGAATGACCCAGTAAAATAGATGTCCGACGCCATGTACTGCAAAGCACATCATGGTGAAGTGTTATGAAGCTAATTTCGAACACTTCTTTAAAATCTCTGCGTATATATTAGGTCATTAACTGGCATCATTTAGAGAACTAATAAAAACCACAGAGCACTGGACAGCTTTTCCATTCAAGACGTGGGTGTATACTCTGAAGAGTCGCAAACTAGGACAAAACAACCGTTGAGTATTCCTTAGTTTTCAATGATTCTCTATCTGATGTCGGTTGGTGACGTAATCTACGCTAAAGTCAATCAAAATCTTTCCAAATCCAACACCTGCACTTCTTTTAAAGTCATATGTAGAACATGTTTTAGTTATATACTTAAGTTTGGCTAAAGGGCTAGCTATTAAAATTTTCCAATCTATCCTAAATGCATTAAATTTGCCTTGATAATCCAATATTCTTTACTTGTCATTTCTATCTTTTAATTAAATACCAAACCACTTATACTTATTTTGATGTGTTTGTGTTCTGTGAGCTAGATGGTTAATTTGCGAAGCTTTCACCACCCTACTAGGCACTCCCACCTTAAGGAAAATTGAAGAAAAATATCTCATGGACGTCTTCCAAAAGAATGGATATCCACAGAATTTCATCAAAAGACATATACCCCCAAGCCAACCTATCAAACCAAGAGCCCCCAAGGAAAGCACAAAGAAAATCGCCTTACCATATATAAAGGATATCTCAGAAATCACTGCAAGACTCTTTAAACCTTTAAGAATCGACGTCGTACACAAACCAACAAAGTCACTTCACTCAATTCTATGTCAACCAAAAGACTCAACAACGAAAGAATATAAAGCCAACATCATCCACAAAATAAATTGTAACAACTGCGAAAAACACTACATTGGCCAGAGTGGACCTCCCCTTCATCTTCGTATCCATGATCTTAAGCTAGCCGTCAAAAGACATGATATCCACTCCCTCATATCATTACATACAGACAACCACGGACATCAATTCGAGTGGGACAACCAGTGTTTAAATATCAGGCAGAGGGAACAACAAGAATGCTAGAGAATTTTTAGAAGCCTGGATGGTATTCCAGTGAATCGTCAACCAATAGACATATCGAGATAGACAAAATATATCAACCGATAAAAAAGAAACCTCACGCACAAAGGATCAAAGTTCAAGTCAAAGAAACAATCAGTTCCAATACAAGTAACTTAGAAGGTGTAGAAACACACAAAAACAACCAATCACATCCAAGGTCACCAGGAGAGATGATTAATAAACTCGTGGAGAAATCCAAAAGCTCACTTCAAGAAATTGAAGTATGCACTGAAGATGTTGCCTAGTAGGTGGCGATGAAAGCTTCGCAAATTAACTATCCAGATCAGAGAAGGCAACCACATCAGAATCATCCATCTGAGCTACAAATCTTCTCCATCATATCACTTATACTTATAAATTTCAATTTTGACCCTTAATAATTCTGACAAACAAAGCAACAGCTTGAGATTTCTTCTTTTGTAACAGCAGAAGGCAAGACACGGAAGGCAAGGCATATATTCAAGTGATCAAACCGCTATTTATATCTATACAGTTTATTTGAATAAAGCAAGAACAACAGTGGCGGTTTGTGCAGAATAAAATGGTACCATCATTTATTTCGTTGGCTTCTGATCAACTGCTTACTTACAGCCTAAATAAATTATGAGGTTTATATGCAGAAAACTTTTAACATATTTGCGAATTTTTCATGATGTCGGTTGACAGAAGGTTCCACAGTTAGTGAATAGTGCTCAGAAAATTGCGCTTATATGGTTTTTACACAAGAAGTTCAAGTTTAAACAAAATAAATGTATGCATACAATGGTAAAGGAGTTACGCAATAAAGACGAGAGATGCGTAAGATGCAGAATGACTAATAAATTCGGTAACAATATACTGAGTTCAACTCATATCATAGAAACAAGAGACAAGCGAGATTACAAATTATAAGAGGGGGGTGAGGTTAAAGACAAAGATTATGTAATCAAATGAGAGAATAATGACACTCAGTTACCACATGGGCAAGAAAAGACTGACAACTGCTTCTTTCTAAACACATACGTTTGATTTCAAGCATCTGATAGAAATCGCTTCGGAAAACTTGAGTAGAATCGAGCTCCCAAAAACTTCGAAACGCACCAACCACATGAAAACGGCGTATTTTAGGTGAGAAAAAATAGATATAATCTTGAAAATGGCGAATAATAAAGACATGAAAGTGTTACACTGGGCTTTTTTTTCCCAGGTGTAAGAAAAATATCTTCCAGTTTCTCATTAAGGTGTCAAGGGAGAAATCAAATGAAATTCCATATATAAATTCATCAAACTGACTACGGATGACCCAGTTATGAGGTCCTATTATTCTAATCTTCCTCAAAATCCCTCAGTTGAATTGATGTGGGTAGCTGTACTCGGATCCACAAAATCTGTGAAATGGTTGACCCTGTGATGAATGTAACTAAGCAAACACAAGCTACAAAACCCGCTCCATTCGTCTGTGTGTATTACAGATCTTTGTCTTACCAGCCTGGTAATAACGGCAGTTGACTTCTTGTCAGGTATTCTTTCGATAAATCCTTTCCGCCATCTGGTATCGTATAATCTGGGCATCCAAACGCTGTTGGTTCTTTCATGACCACCGTTGTATTTCCACTGTTATCAGCACTGTTTCAGTTATATGTGCGACGACATCTCCTCCCAAGAAGGTACTTAATCACTCCATTTTTTTCACGAGGCAGTATCTGTGAAGTACTGATACCACTGGAAAACTGAAACCAGAATGCTCATAATTCTTCAACAAGAATGAATACTTCTAATAGCAATCAATCCCATTGACAAACAATGGCGGAATGCTCTACAAATATCAAATTTTTAACTCAAGTATTCGTCTTTAATCAAAAGGGAACGTGATTGTTTCGTCTAGGGTCATCGGTGCGTTCGTACTCCACCACCGTCTAAAACTTAACTATTTCCAATCCGGAATTATCTTTTTTCTTGACTATTCAAGACGAAAATTATTCTGCTTGTTTATTCATTTATTGACCTGTGTGTTTATTTCTTTTTTTGACTCATTTATTTAATAGAGAGATTGTCATGTAAGCAGAAAAAGGATTAGTGGTAAGCTACTTTTTTCATATTTTGTGTATACGCGTATATTACTTAAAAACGCTTTCAAGTAGTGTGACTTAATAACTGAATTCTTTGTGGAATAAACAAATTTTTTCCGAGTTTGACCACGGATTGATATCATTTAGAGAACCACTGAAAACCAGGGAGTAATGGATAGCTGCTTCGTCCTAGTTTGAGACTCTTCATAAGTACCCACCCACTGGAGTTCAAGTCGAGAAACTTCCGGTCACAAGGCAGGCTCGTAGAACATTCAGCCACTGGGAGAAATTGATGCTTAAGCAGGAATGTCTGCGTTGTGACGTAGGATTCTAACCAACAGCCTCAAAATTACTAGTTTGACAGCACCAGTTGAGAGTTATAAAACGCAACTGAGCTAATCACGTCATCATTTCATTATAATCAAAACAGATAGTGATCACCTGTCATGTGAATGAATGATATCAGTTCGTTTATCATTACACTAGTTCCCCGGTTATGTCTTCTTCTGTCAGTGCTAATCACAGTAAACTAGATGAAGAGAGGATTTAGACAAAGCGAAGACGTAATCTGTCTAAATTGTGTAATGTGTATTTGAGCAACACATTTCAAACAATCTAATCACACACGAACTTGTCATAGGAATGCATATGAAATTAATAAAGAGTTAAGAGGTGAGAAAATAGACTTAGGCAAAGTTAAAAGGACATAATGAAAGTCGAAATAAGAGTGAAGATCACTGAACCAAATAACAGAAGTAATAGTACATATACCCTGGCTGGTATGAAAACAAAGTTTACCAAGGAAGGTTTAGTGTGATGACGAATCTTTTTTGAACGCATAAAGGTGATTTAAATTTCCTAATTGCTAGGGCTTCCACAAACTTGAGGATACGCCACAAACAAGTCTTGTAGATAGGTTTAAAAGACGTTTAAACATAAATTTTATGTCCTATCTCTATAATATGTTTCGCAATAGAGGAGCTAGGTCTCCTTATCTCACCACTAAAGGATTATGGGGATTCTATCTGCTTCTGAAGCCATTTAGAAATATGCTATGAAGCCAGCCCTTACTTGCAGAGATCGACGAGTACCCATATGTATGTGTGTCCACACGTACATTCAAATTGGGATGTAAAATCGTTTTTCCCATGTTCTCAGGGCTTAGATGGATATATCCGCTTCACATTCTCAGTTATTGTGGTGATAGTTACATACAAAGTCTTTTTAACCTCAGCTTTCAGTCTTTGTCTAGTTGTCAAGCTGCTATGATCACCCATATGTGGTAGCCTGATGTACACGTCTTTCTTAGCGGAGAGTTGGAGAGTTGGTCTTGGTGTTCTGACTACTTTATATCTCCTAATGAATTTGTCTGGATAATTATGATCAACCAGAGTTGAAACACTTGTTAAGGAAGAAAGAAGGTTGTCACTGAAAATTTTGAAAATATTGTGTTCATATGTGTGTTGGCCAGTCTATCCTTGAGTGCGGCTAATACATCCAACTTCATAGTATTTTAGAAAAATCGATCAAATTCAGAAGCCTCGTAATCCTCTTTTTATTATCAAGCGTGCAGACAGAAGTTGCCTTTGGGTATCCATGTTGTTGGTATTTTCAAATACTCATCTCAGGATTTTTATCTTATCTTCTAATTTCTTGTTAAATTTTAAACAGTAATTGTATTTAAAGAAAAACCGTATGTCTTTCGCCAAAGTTAAACTATCATAGCGAAAGCCGCAGTGACCTTGAACAACCAATCAGAATTCAGATGCAAAAAAGTCACGTAATCGTTGGAAAATACATTGAAAAATATTCCAAACTTGATATTACACAGTGCATAGTGGTCGCTTATGTGTTGCGGGAATTACTCCCAGTTACTGCACAGATGATCTATAGAGAAATAGTACCATGTGCGATATACCCGTTCCTCCAGTTGACTGTAGGTCATGGTGCTTTGAAATCCATTGATATTTCTGACACCATTTTCCAACCTACTCCTAATCCCAACTTTAACCCTAAAGCTAACCGTAACTCCAGACACTAAACCTTATTCTTATCCGCCTTAACCCTACCTAACAGTGTAGATTAGCAGAAAAAGTACCTAGTAAATAAGTAGAATACTATATCTACTATATCTACCTTCTCCAAGTTCAAAAAGACAGAAATGACATTTCATGGCCTTCCCCGTGTCTGATCGGTTCTTGAAGGTCAACTTTTGGCTATGATATTTTAACTTCGCCCGGATTTTCAAAAATAATATTGACAACTATAAGTGTTTTTTTTTTGCAGTCATATTTTCAACAATTTTTATTACATTATCTTATATCTGCCTTTTACTACAGAACTACGAGAAATCTTCCGATTTATTGACCGAGACAATGATGGTACAGTGAGCAGACAAGAGTTCAGTACATTAATACGTCTTGTCAGTTCCGAGTATACAGATAATCAAATCAAATTATTAATGAATAAAGCTGATATGAATGGTAAGTCAATGGTGTATATTATTGTCAAATTAACAAACAGCGAAACCCTACAAACAATCTTCGATCTGTCCTTATGACCTTGTATATAATTGGTTACTTTTAATAATCGTGTTATTATCGCAGTAAAATGATTGGCTATTCACGTCGCATGACCTTCTGATGATAACACTGCAGTGTCTCTATTGACCAATAGACTTGGTGAAAGTGTAAACTGACCGTTAACCATTTTGAGGAGAAAAAAGGTATAAAGGTTTCCAAGTCTAAAAATTTCATTGACAAGTTAACATCCTTCCTCATTTTAATGCTTGTATAATTAACACTCAAACATTTAAATCAGAAATGAATTCTATCATTATTACAGTTCATTTCTTGTTTTTGAGACTGGAACAAATAGCTTCACTGGCATATCCATACTCATTGTACTCCATTCTCTCCTGTCGTTTTAAACTGGCTCTATGACTGCCTACACGGTTTCGTTTTCTACTCATATGATCTCCATGTTACTCTTGGACCCACCTACAACTCTCAGCTTTCCATTTGGATTTCACTGAAGGGACTAGTATGTGTTGCCTGCTGAAAGCATAAACACTTTGGGTCGAATCCGTCGACATTTCCTTCTACATATTTGTTGAGTAGTAGGTTTCTGACTGTTTCGCTGCCCGACAGGGTTCCTTGTTTTTGGTTATCCCTTCTAGCCGTCTATCTGATCTTCAATTTCGAAGGAGGCTAGCTGAATTACTGCTAAAATATTTTGTTTTAATTTTGAGTAATTAAAAATAATTTAACGTTTTGTGCTAGTTAACACTTCGAAACTGGTTGGGAAACGGTATTTAGTGCTTTTCAGTTGATAACCAATAGAGAAAACAGATTTATTATAAAACTCTTCGTTATATCTAACGCAAATAACGCAGCACATTGGTTATACTCAGCAACTGTAATCTAGATACTGGTGTGGTGAGAGCTATCTGCTAGCCAAAATTGTAGACAATTAACAACAATTTATGGACAGGTGGGAAAATATTGCTCTTAATACATTTAATCCTACTCCAAAAATATGGTGGAGATATGTGGATGACACTTTCACAGTGTTAAAAACAGAACATATCTCTAGCTTCTTGACGCATCCACAAACTCACTAGTGGAGGGAATAAAATTCACATTTGAAGCCGAAAATGAGCAAGGAGAATTAGCTATGTTAGATTGTAAAATAAAACGAATAGAAGAAGGCAAACTACACACTAGTGTTTATAGAAAACCAACGCATTCTAATAGATATTTAGATTTTAATTTATGTCATCCGCTAACTGTTAAGGCAGGCTTAGTTAAGTGTTTAACAAACCGAGCAATGGCACTAAGTAGCACAAAAAATACCTAAATGACGAAATAAAACAGATAGAAGAAGCGTTGGTGTTGAATAATTATCCTTTAAAATTCATTAGGAAGATAACTAAAGGCCAAAAACAAAATAAAAAATAATTGTGAAACTGGTCGTGATAACATAAATAAGAAAGAATATAAGTCATCTACAGTTGTCTTACCATATAAGTAGGGGACATCTCAGACCCTACGTAGAATTCTCAATAAAGCAGGAATTAGGGTAGTGGATTTCAAACCTACAAACTCACTCAGAGACAAGCTATGTAAGCTAAAAGATTCTGTGGACCTAATTAAACAAAATAATATAATTTACAAACTACCTTGCAATGACTGTGTATGAGGTCAACTACATAGTTCAAACTAGTAGATCGGGGATAGTCGAATTGTCAGAACATAAGAATTTGGCTAAGGTTAGAATGATTGATACCGAGAAGATAAGTAATTTAGAAAAAAGCTCAGCGATTCCATTACATGCATTAACACACAACCACACAATGGGGTGGGTGGGAGAGGGTTAAAATTGTAAGAAATAATATAAGTAGGTGGAGAGAGAGAGATTGATTACTGAATCCTGGTACATTGAGTCTACAACCAACACATGCAACAGAAATGACTCAATGCAAATACCAGAGATGTGAAAGATATTATTATCGCCAGTCAAATCAGAGGAGGATAATAAATAATCTCAAAATTCTATTTCAATTCACATACATCACAACATTCCAACAAGTTACTTATTATGACTGTAAAAACACTCGTCTTATTTCCCATCTGATTGTAATTGATCAATAACACTAATATTATTATTATTTCTGAATGTATATTATCCTATATTGATTTTTATGCAAATGTTTAATCAATTTCACTCATGTATATAAATGAAGTAAAAAGTTGTGTGAGTAACTTGATATGATTATGAGCAATAGTTTTTGCTCGAACGTTATCAGTTAATATTACTGTACAACACTGTGTCATTTATCAAAATAAAATCTTATCCATAATGGAGTTACACTCTACCACAGTGACCAAATTTTATGCTTACATCAATTTACGTCAGTGTTAACGTCCCGAATCGGGGTAATGAGAAGAAACAATTACAAAGCTTAGCCTTGAGGAACTCATCAATCAATCACAGTTGACTTAACGTGTTCAAATGCGATTTGCATATATAAATCGCCAGACTTCTTCAAGAAACGGTCACAAAGAGATGACAGAATAACCTTCAGCAAGAAAAAAACCAATCAGAAGATGTTGCTTCTCTGCCAACCAGAACGCTAATAATAATGTACATAAAAATCTATAAATATCTGTTGATTTTCTCAATAAATGATCTGGCACTTGCCTGACCCTTTTCTTCTGTTTTTACACTGGTAAACAAGGACAAGTAAAGGTTGACTTCATCCTGATAAATTACTGACGGTGGGCTGAATCACTGTCGTGTTCCTAGTCCATAGTGTTGGCAATGACTGAATTCTAGCAGTCAAGATTTCAGTATGGTCACAATTCTAGGAGACTCGCCATTAAGGTGTTCTTTTTTAACTAATGTCAGATGGTTAGACGTAATCGGTGGGTAGCCATGGACCTAGGTATCGCGCTTAGATATCGATACATCTTGCTGACGAGTGTCATTAACCCCAAGACTCAGAGTCATGGACTCCTGTCAGTAACCACGAGTCATATGGCAATAATTCATAAAGGATACCTCAGTGATGAGTCTCCTAGACTGGGGCAACCACATTTCGAATCGACTGTGATAAGATTCAGTTGGCGTCAACACTGTGACGTTGAGTACTACCAACCCCTCAGTGACCAATTAGTACAGTCATAACAACGCTACAGAAGTCCAATTACTGATGTAAACAGCTTACTGGTGACGTCTGTGACAGCAACACTATATGACATGGGTTTGAATCTGAATTAGGACACAGCAGTTACACTTTACTGGCGAGTCCCGATAGGCACAAAATCTAGGTCTATGGCTTCTTTGTGATGCCTACAACCATTTAACACTAAGTTTTGACTTTGATCACCACCATACAAGTAAATTCCGATCACTGGTTCAAAGTCACTGACAAGTGTATGGCTTTTTGCTTCATTTAGTAATGATAATTCGCAGATGTTTTTGATACTACAATCATCAAAACTGTTGTGTCCTGTGTCATTTGAATCGCTTGTTGCTCAGTTGATGACAAGTAGACATTTGAAACTTTTCTCAAAAAAGGCAGAATTCCAGTTCAACTAGTCATTATTTAAGAACACAATATTCAGCGAAGAGACTCTTTTCAACGAATTTATTATCAAGCTGTACAATCGTATACAAACATATGGTTTTTAAGAAATTATATCCGATTAGGGAATTAGATCAAAGGTGTGAATACATGAAATAATAATAGTATGAAATGCAATTAAAATATCTGTGATTATAATCATAGTTTAATGTCAAGTGGCAAAATAATTAATGTCATATACATAGAATAATACATAAGGTGTATAGATTTTGGAAAGGGGTACATAATTAGAAGATTAGTAGACGAATATAAAATGTTACATAACATGGTGTGAAATTTGACAAGATAGAATTCAATATTGTAAAAACAAAAGATAAAAGATTTAATAATTATGTGTTTAAAATGTTAAGTGGGTCAAGTGAAAAAGATTCAGAGTGAGAATAGTAATAATAATAATAATCGTAGTAATAAGGGAAAAGTACATAGAATAACTAAATAAACAAAATAAATAAATGTCTATCCCTCTACGGCCAAGGCAGAAGTAGGGCTTGCACATACTTCTTTTGTACACAAAGGTCTGGCTTAAAGTCATGAACTGCCAAGACCTCAGCTGTCTTTAGAAGTTTGTAACGAAGAAAATGCGGAAAGTTAGCATGGGTTCCATATATTATCTTGAAATCATGGTCAGGGTTGACAGACTGGCAGAAGTTGATTTTAATGCTAAAATGGGAATTATTAAATTATGGTCATTATTCCACCTTCATATAAATTTATTTTGTTATGTTTCCCCTCTTTAATTCAATGCTTAAAGGTGATGGTGAAATGGCTTTCGACGAGTTTGTTCGTCTTTTATCAAATGAAAGTGATGTTCAAGAGGAAGTCTCAGCAACACGTGAAGCCTTTGAAGTATTCGATACAGTAAGTTATTCATTTATGTATATGACATACATACCTAAACATACGTGTGTGTGTGTGTGTTATTAACAATAACCCAGATGCTTCCTGCTTTAAAAATGAGCCCTTAATTTTAACCACATACCTTTCATTATCAACCTAGATAGCCTCGTCAATAAATAGATGCAGTTTGATATACATTTACAGTGTAAGAGGGTCCTTAAAAGCAGAAAATACATACAAAGGAAAGAGCGTGTAAACCTCATCTTGCAATAGAATGAGGTATATCTTAGGTGGGGAAAAATCAGATGGCTTATACACCATTGTTCCAAGTGGCCGTATTTAATTCAGTATAATTCTAACTGAAAATATGTACAGTAGACAGTTTAAAAGACTATGTTTACTGAATAAAGGAAGAACAACAGTGGAGGTTTGAGCAGAATAATATGGTACCATCATTTATTTCGCTGGCCTCACCAACTGCTATTACCAGACATCTCCTCGATACGGGTCATGAGGTGGAAATCACAAAATCCTTTAGAATTATCAATAAATAAAAGAGCTCGATTCTCCTCAAGTTTGCCGAAGCAATTTCTATCAAATGCTTGAAACCAGATTTATGTGTTCAGAAAGAAGCAGTTATTAGTCTCTCCTTGCCCTGGTAACTGGATGTCTTTATTCTCTCATTTAATTACGTAATCTTCACCCCCCTTTTACCAATTGTAATTTTGCTTGTCTCTTGTTTCTATGATATGAGTTGAACTCAGTACATTGTTACCGAATTTATTAGTCACTCTGCATCTTACGCATCTCTCGTCTTTATTGCGTAACTCCTTTACCATTGTATGCATACATTTATTTTGTTTAAACTTTAACTGCCTGTGCAAAAACCATATAAGCGCAATTTTCTGAGCACTATTCACTAACTGTGGAACCTTCTGTCAACTGACACCATGAAAAATTTGCAAGTATGTACATAAACCTCATAATTTATTTAGGCTGTAAGTAAGCAGTTGATGAGAAGCCAACGAAATAAATGATGGTACCATTTTATTCTGCAAAAACCGCCGTTGTTCTTCTTGCTTTATTCAAATTCATCCAAGGTAATACATGCATGAAGTTTCTGAAAAAACATCTGTAGTCTCCGGAATGTAAATCGTCTATCTGACTGATCCAGAGCAAGTTGCCACACTACCATGCATTGTAATATGATATAAGAAGTGAGAATTCTGTCAGCAGAGATCTCTTCTTGACAGGTAGATATCTTTTGCTTACTGTAGCCCATATGAAAATCAAAGGCTATCCAAAACCTTGTCATTTAGCGGAATTATTCAAAAAATGGTGATCTAAATATGATCATAACAGAACCACAATTCGGTCTCTCGAAAAGTACTCATTTTCATGTGTTAGAAACGATTATTTTTACATGATATTGATTACTATCTAGAGAGTCATTCCTTTCCCACCTCCCAAAATGCTGGCTAACAGTAGATGTGTGAAAGGTACTAGGTTTTGGGGATGGAACTGATACCATCTATTGGACCACTTAAAAAGCGAAGAGCGCCGGAGACCTATTTTTATCTTACTTCGAAACTTTTCAGCAGTGTTCACCTAATATCTCACAAAGGAAATATTTCAGGTCTTCAAGTGTTGGGTTTTCAGGGATTTAACCGATTTCAAGGTATATTTTGTCAAGAACTAGAATTACTAAAAGAACCACTGAGAATCGGGCAGTATTAGACACCTGTCTCGTATTTGTCGTGATGGCGCACTGCTCAGGAGCTTAAAACTACAACGAAACATATGTCTAATACTCCCTGGTTTTCAATAGTTCTCTAAGTGATATCAACTTGTGAAGAAATCTGTCTAACTCAGGCTTTCCTAGTCATTCGACAGACGCTGTGGTGAACGTCAGTGGATCAGCTTTTCGGCATTTTTCTGCCTCTCATAATATTACTAACATCTATGAACAAGTATTTGTTTGACCAGTTATTAACTACTAATGCGAACTAGCAGTGTACATTGTACCACCCCAAAGCTGTACTTTCTTTTGATCTGATTTATTTTTGATATTTATCTTTAGGATAATGATGGTTACATCACAGCAACTGAATTACGTCAGGTGATGAACAGAGTTGGGCATAGCTGTACTGGTAAGTGTATAATAACCTCCAGTTAAAAAAATCGATTTGATGAAAAGTTTTATACAACATTTGTTTAATTGTTTTTTTTTGAAAACCATCTACATTCATAATCAGAATGATATTTACTACTGACTGATTTAAGTAGTGAGCAACCACTCGCATGAAATAGTAATTCTTGCTAACTAATGAGATTGAAGTGATCTAAACACGGGACGGTCATCTCTGTCATTCTAATGTAGGCTTATCACATGTGTATGTGGTCAAACACGGCTCAGATAGGTAAAATAGTTGAATCATAAGTGTACGACCCTAGAAGATCTGGATTTCGCAGATGATGTCTAATGTCACAGAAGAAAACCAACAAACTGGCTGAAGAGGCGAGGCAGGCAAAGAAGACAGGACTTTAGGTGAACATAGATAAGATGGAGGTGATGAAGATAACCAACGAACTGCAACAACAACAGCAGCAACCAGTACCAATCACCATCAAAGGGAGAGATTTGACAAAGATTACTTCCTTCACTTATCTGCTTAAGAAGCTTAGTCTCTACCACAGGCAGTCGAACAGCACGGATAAAGACGTCAAAGTCGGTCAGAAGCGGAAAGGCAAGATACGTCTTCATCAACCTGAAACCAGTTTAGAAATCTTCGGTACTCAGTCAGGCAGCATAAAGAACAAGATTCGGATTTTCAGCACAAATGTTAAGTCGATCACTTGTTCTCTACCGGTCAGAAACTTGTACTACATGTCATGAAAAGGGTTTCTAGTAGGTTACAGACTTTTATCAACAGCCATCCACTTCGCTGGCTCAATATTGAGGATAAAATGGCCAGCCGGCCAGAAGGAAATAGCAACAAGAATCTCTTCAGTGGAATAAACCAATCAAGAGCTGACTGTTCAACAAACATTCCAGAGAAAATGGAGATGGATCGGGCATACGTTGAGGAAACCGTCAAATGACATCGCGCGCAGTGCAGGCCATTGCTCGAGTGGAATCCCATAGGGGAGCGACAAGTAGGTCATCAGTGCGAGGGTAACATGGAGGAGATGGTGTGAGTTGGGGGAGGAGATTAGAGATTATGGGCAGTCGTGAACCCAGCTGAAGAGGACGACAGAAAATAGGAGAAAGTGGAGATGTGTTGTTGAAGCCCAATGATCCACTCGGAATCCAAGGAAATAATAATAACAAGTGTACAATACTATATGACGTGAGTGACTTTCAGCAAGGCAGATTTCGTCCATCATTTAGTGAACCATTGAAAATCAAGAAACACATTGCCAGCCGTCTCCTCCTTGTTCGAGAAACTTCAGCGGCACATATCAACTTGATATGATTATGAGCAATAGTTTATGCTCGAAACGTCATCAGTTAATATTACTGTACAACACTGTGTGATTTATCAAAATAAAATCTTATCCATAATGGAGTGTGTCTACTATTCAGTCAGTCAGCCAAAATCTAAAAGTTTATGATTTTTAACTTCTACTAATTCAAGATAGAGGCCCTCTTCCATCTATTGTCTGTCAGTGATGCGCAAACACTGACACATAATTAATTTCAACAGTCCCATGAAAGTTTATATCTCAATATTTAAATCTCCTAAGTGTGACAAAACAAATACTTAATACTTCTTAGTTTTCAGCTGTTCATTGTCTGGTTTTGATTTCCCGATACTCAGTTGTTTATTGGAGCCAAGTTAACCCTTGCAAAGGTATGATAGAGAAGATTTGTAGCTCAGGTGGATGATTTTGATGTGGTTGTGTTCTCTGAGCAGCTGGATAGTTAATTTGCGAAGCTTTCATCGCCCTACTAGGCAACATCTTCAGCGCATAATTCAATTCGAGGAGGTGAGCTTTTAGATTTCTCCACGAGTTTATTAATCATCTCTCCTGGTTGGTGACCTTGAACGTGATTGGTTGTTTTCGTGTGTTTTCACACCTTCTAGGTTACTTGTATTGGAACTGATTGTTTCTTTGACTTGAACTTTGACTCTTTGTGTGTGTGTGAGGTTTCTTTCTTATCGGTTGATAAATTTTGTCTGTCTCTATGTGTCTATTGATTGATGATTCACTGGAATGCCAAAAATTCTCTAGCCTTCTTGGTGTTTCCTCTGTCTAATATTCGAACACTGGTTGACCCATTCGAATTGATGTCCGTAGTTGTCTGTATGTAGTGATACGAGGGAGTGGATGTCATGTCTTTTGACGGCTAGCTTATATTCATGGATACGAAGACGAAGAGAGGAGTGTCCACTTTGGTCAATGTAGTGTTTTTCGCAGTTGTTACAATTTATTTTGTAGATGCAGATATTGGTTTTATCTTCTTTCATTGTTGAGTCTTTTGGTTGACATAGAACTGAGTGAAGTGACTTTGTTGGTTTGTGTACGACGTCGATTCTTAAAGGTTTGAAGAGTCTTGTAGTGATTTCTGAGATATCCTTTACATATGGTAAGGCGATTTTCTTTGTGCTTTCCTTGGAGGCTTTTGGTTTGATAGGCTGGCTTGGGGGCATATGTCTTTTGATGAAATTCTGTGGATATCCATTCTTTTGGAAGACATCCATGAGATATTTTTCTTCAATTTTCCTTAAGGTGGGAGTGCTGCAATGAGTCAATAACCCTAGCAAAATTACCATGTGTCACGGTCAGAACCACACTTACTGTTTCTGGGCTAATCAGGCTGAAGTAGGTGGAGCGGGACTCAAACCCAGGACTCAGTCAATGTGAGTTGGATGGTTAGGCCAATGATCTACGCCTTCAGTTTGCTAAACAATCCATCATGATTTGACACTGACTTGGACTTTCTTTACCACTACTTGTCTATATTTTGCTGGTTTATAGTACCTCGGGCTTATGTTTGTCAGAAGACGCTAATTAGAGTTTAGCGGTAGGATGTTATCCAACCATGCACATGAGTTGTGCTCAGTTTTCAGGCAACACACTTCTTAACCATACCTAGACTGTAGTAAGCCCGGTCAAAGAGAGAGGTTCGGTGTTAGGCTACCAGTTCCACAGGGTAGAGAAGTAAACACCACCGCAGATAAGACTTCAGAGCTCAAGCTTTAAGCCACATGTTCTGCTAGGGAACTGAAAAGAATGAAAGGGAATCTGTGAATGAATTGTTTTCTAGATACTTTTTCTTACTATAAAATATTGATCTTAGGATCGACGATTTCATTTTTATTCCTGTCCCTTATTATTTAGATTCAGATGTACAAGAAATGCTGTCTGAAGCTGATCAAGATGGTGATGGAAAAGTTACATATGAAGGTAAGTAGAAATTAATGCAATTGGAATTCAATGTTTATCATGAATCGACTTCAGTCAGGGAACCACTGGAAGCCAGTTAGTACCGGAGAAATGTTTCACCCCTGTTCGGTACTCTTCATCAGTACTCATCCACGACTTCACACCACAGACCTTCAGGTTACAAGGTGAACTCCTTTACCATTTAGCCACTGAGACGGAATCAAACAACCCATCAGTTCTAACTTCTGACATTTCCCAATGTAGCGCCACCTCCAGCCAATGGCATTGATGAGCATCTGTCGTCACTGATTAGGAGTCCCAACGAAGAATGAAACAGCTGTCCAGTACTGCCTGGTTTCCAGCGGTCCTCTAACTGAAGTCATCTGGTGATCAAAATCAAAACTAATCGAATCCCTGCAAGCCAAAACTTGAAGGTTAATTGGGTTACCGGCTATTTTCAAAATGGACGGAATTTTAACTCAGTGGTTGGGGCAAGTGGGGAAATAGTAACATGTCCATCTCCTCATCTGATGGTACCGAATGTTATCTTTTTGTGAGAATATGACTGTACAGTGCTGAATAGCACCCCGCCTCACCCTAATCAAGTGAAGCAGTTCGGTACTCCTTATTTGCTACTGCTTCTACAGCTGACGACTGTCCATGGTAAAAACCTACGTAGTTTCAGTTAACGTTACGTCTAGCCACATAGAAAACATCACAGTGAAGTAGTGTTCATCAACTTTATGAAAAAAGGCATGATAATGATACAGATAAGTAAAAATTTTACAGAAGGACCAAGTTTCTTCTTAGAAAGTGTTTCTAAACATTAAGTAACTAACCCTTGCTTAATCGTCCTTATACAATGAGACTTTTGATCAATCTGCCTTCTAACAAAGTATAATATTCATGGCTAAAGGCATATATATGTTCCAGGTTAGACTACGGATTGATATTAGTTGGAGAACCACTGGAAACCAGGGAGTAATGAACAACTGTTTCGTCCTAGTTTGGGACTCATCATCAGTACGCATCTACTACCAGGGTTCGAACCCAGGAACTTCCGGTTACAAGACAAGCTCGTAGACCATTCAACCACTGGGAGCCGATTCAATGGGCAGCCCATGAATTCTAACTTCTACCAATTCGTGATTTTAGGGTAACCATCCTCACTCCCGACTAGATGGATCCCACTGGTCATAACTTCTCACTAGAACTCCAGGCAATGTCGTCCTGTATCTAGTCACTATGGAGAGTCAGATTAATTTTCAAGAATCCCTACAAACTAATTCTTGAAAATATACATATGTCCGTTAAAACAACAGCAAGGATAAAAACAATCTGGAGGCGTTTCCGTGCATAATACAACAAACGCAGCAACAGAAACGGTGTTTATGGGAAAACCCATTAAGATACCTTTACAACAGTTAAATGTTACAGCTGAAACGATTATAATGTTCTTCTGGACATACAAAACTAAGACTCACAAAATCGTGCACATCACCAGCTACTTGAACAAATTCAAATTTTTAATTGACAATCCCTGTCTTTATTCTATCAATAAGGTGGAAATCAAAGGGAGATAAATTTATTCGCCAATTATTTGAATCCTTGCTCGTTTTATCAGAAATCATACGTAGTTGAAACATTTGTGGCTGTCTTTGTTATACTATGCACAACAACAACTTCAGATTACTTGTGTCTTCACCTAAATAATTATTTGGCATCTGTCAGCGCAAGGAGATTATGTTTCTGTGTCCATTCATCACTCACTGCGGAATTCAGGCACATCCAGCCGACGAGTCCCAAATAGGACGAAATGAGCATCCTGGATCCCATTGCTAGTCACCATCCACCAATTGATTTCTAATTACACGCCCAGACATCTTCGAAGCATCTGCACAAGAAGCCGACATGTCAATCTGAGACCGAGCACTTCGGTCCAATAAATCAGTGGACGGGAAAATCTAAAATTCAATTAAATAATTAATAATGCCCCGTTGCACAAGAGGTGCCTCTCGGGGCCCGAGTGGTTTAGTGGGTAATGCTTTTACGTTTGGAACTATGGGCACTGGGTTCGATCCTCGGTGGGGATATCATCACTCACTGGGGAATGGAGGTACATCCAGTGGTTGACGAGTCCCAAATAGGACGAAATGCGCATCCTGGATTCCACTGCTAGTCACCATCCACCAATTAACATATCTCTGTTCTTTATGTGTTGTGTGCGAAATACCGCGTTTGACATTTTACAATTGAGTTCTGTCAGTATTCAACCCTGAAACACCAATATAGATGGATTATTTGAAAAAAATAATGAGTTGTACTTGTAGAGGACGAGTGTAGGTGCTTGGAGTTTTGTCCAAATCATATTTATTCACTATGTTATCTTGAACTTAGCACCAAGAATATCTGTTTGCGTTTATATGCCATCAAGGAATTACTAATATTATTATTATTACTACTGAAGCTACTTATGGTACATTACACTTTTCTAACCGAATGTAAAGAGAAATAAGTACTGAATTCCGAATTTTGAGGGATTCGCACAATCTAACACATTTTTGACAGATAATGCCAAGAAATTGGATGACTGTATATACTACTAATTGGTGTGATTAGTTAAGACCACTCCGACCAACAAGTAGAGCTTCCTAGCCAACTTCAATAATAACAGTGAGCGAAAATGAAGATCACAGGATGATCTGAATTAGCTGTCTTCACGCGTACTCAAACTCAGGAAATAAAGTGGTAATAACATGGAATCTAGGTTACTCATCTGGTCGTATTCCAGATTCATCAACTTGATGTGCCTACACTACCAATGGGTGATAATGTTACCAGTAACAGTCAAACCCTATACCCATCGTTTCAAACAATTTGGCGTTGTCAAATAGGCCATTGGGTCATTGAACCTTTGGACTTTTGTCTGAACGCACTCACCCACTTTTGGCACTTCTTCCTCCTTCGATTCGTGACTCTCCTGTACATTTCCAGTTCGCGCACTCTCCGAGCCTATCACAATCAAGGCAGCAGATAAGTATATAACCTCTTTTTTTTATCAAGTTTCATATCTCATTTGTGTAAAAATATAACTCTCTTCCAGGCACACTTGCTATCTCGAGTCGTTTTACCTTGATCCGGTTCGTTAGCGCTTGCACGTTAGGCAGAGCGGTGAATAAGTTGTGTAAGGGTGGTTAGGTCTGCATTAGGCCAAGCCAAACCCTTACAGACTTTGGTAGTGAGACCAGTTTCATGTTAACCTTCAGACGTCATCGTAGCATCCATACTAGTAGACAAAAGGTCAACAATGACCAAGTATTTCGGTCGAGTGTAAGTCAATCATCGGGACACATAAAAATAATTCGATAAATAACAGTAGTAACCATTCATCAAATGATATTCAAAATTATATTTTTCTTTCAAAAAGCTAGTACATTTTCTTATTTTAAATTTTTAGAATTTGTAGCAATGCTGAAAGAAAACTCAGGCGAATAAAACGTCATGTTCATCGCGAATGTCATTCACCATTACTTTTACTATTACTATTACTACCCGTACTATTACATTTTTTGTCTCCAAGTATTTTTGTTTTTGTTGCTCCTTTTTTTGAAGAGTAAATTTATCTGTAGTTCAGTCGTATACATATAAAAAAATAACTCTTCTGTATGAATTCACACATATGCATATAAACTCATTTCAGCTAATATCTGCACATTTTAAATTAAACTTGATGAGAATCTTTAAGAAGAAAGAATATGTGTATGAATTTATTGTTTAACACAAGTGTGCTTTGTTCTCCCTTTTTTTTAAAAAAGTAGCTATTTCGCAGTCAGTGTATTTTAAGTCTTTGTTCACTGCATTCCTGGAAGTGAATTACTAACGTTTTTCGGAGGTTTTAACTATTTCCTAGCTGACTTAAATACGTCTAGTAATTCCCCGAACAGCTTCACGGTTCCTAATATCCCAGACACCACTGAACCACCTTTCGCCAAACAGTGTTAAATCTGTAGACGGCTAGAAGTTAGGACAGGGAACAGCACCAACACTTCGGATGACCTTGAGGTGATTGATCATGTCATTAGTCATAAATGCAGTGTATGTTTTGCTTCTAGAGTTTGTTACTGACTACGTTCAACAATTTTCTACGTTTGGGGTTAAGTTCAAGGTCGTTCAAGGGTTAGATATAGGTCAGGATCAGGGTTATGTTAGTGTCAGAACTAAGAGTAGTGTTAAAGGCAGGTTTATGTTCAGATTAGAGATTGAGGTAACGGGAAATTGTCCCAGGAGGCTGTCTAAGTATTCGCAAATGTACCTACGAATTCATGAATTTGCAAAGTTATCAGTAAACTCAGAAGCTTCTTCGCACTGTTCGTTCAAGTTCACCTGGTGGCTGCTATCTTTTAACTTATCCATATATGGGGTGAGTATATGGGCAGCAACCAAAACAAACTTACGTCCCTTCGCAGTAGGAGAGTGCACATGTATAAAGTGGTGAAAAAGTGGGCAAAATGGGCAGACGTGGGTAAACTGCAACATAAATTACCCACTTTTCCCCATTCTCTCTCAAAAATTTCACCATCCATTTTACCCATGTTGGTACCCACCTCTTCCCGCTTCAACCCACCCCATTTCCAAAAATGACCCACTTTCTCCTATCTTGCCTAATTTTGAACGGAAAGTTATCCACGTTCTCACCGATGTTCACGAAAATACTCTCCGACATGGTTTCATTTCCGCCTCCATGAGAGAGTAGAACGGAGATGCTCAATTAGAATTGGAACCTCATCAGGTAGTTGGTGTTGTGCATGTTCGTGTGATCTTGTGTTACATGCCGAAAAGAATACTGTTATGACTCGAAATGCCACTTAGGTATTTTCAAGGGTCTTCATCAGTTTTCACATAGCTGGAATATCTGTTCTGTCGTCTACCGTACTATGCTTAAGAAACGCCTTGAAATTACTTTTATCCTTCATTTTCGAGTAAGCAAAAAAGAAATTCAGTCAAACAAGTAAACAACTATGTAACCCGTAACTTTATTGTTAAGTCAATCGGTATAAATAAAATATGGTGGCTACTATAGTGTTTATCAGCTGGTTGTATGGTTTTATTAACAACAGGTGACATTAATTAGTATTGTACGGTAACATATCCTGTAAGACCTAAGTCCTGGCCAAATAGCTGGCTCACTCATTAGCCTCGCTCATTCTAACTTGGTGACCACATTACTCCTAATACATCCCAAGTACTGAGAAAAGGGGGAATATTATATTCACGCCTTATAAAAGAGATTCAGAAAGAGGAAATACTAACTAATCACGCCAACCAGATACAACGGCACCATCAAGAGCTTTTTCCTTTAGATACCAATACCGCAATTACATATGTTAACTCCAGCAGGAAGGGAATGCAAATTTATTGTTTTAAATATGTAAGGCTCAACTGGCTCAACTTTCTTCATGTCCTGCTGCACAGTAGCACAAAGAATAAATTATATTACACTATTCTGCAAAGATTTTTCAAGCTGCTTTAGAAAAGAAAAACAGATAGGTTTCTCAGCGTAAGTCAACCCAACTTACCAGAAACTTGAGCGCTAAATTTCCAGTTAACATGTCTGACTTTTGAATTCTAAATTTTTCTGGGGGGAATGTCTTTTTTACATTTCTTGAAGAACTGTGAACTCGTTTACTTGTCGATCTCAACTACAAATAACCTTAGTGCGCATCATGTGGCCAGTTGGCGTAACTGACTGACTCCTAATCCTGCCCCACCCAAGTTGGTAGACTGGATAATGAGAAGTAACAGAAGTACACTGTCACCTCCCGATGCAACCACAACTCTCTTAATCCATCAAATTCAGTCTTTTTAGGCACTTTCCGTGATTTTCATAAGCAATGGCAAGAACAAATTAGACACTAAGGACGAGTTAGTTCAGGTCCCCTTGATTTCTTATATAACTCCTCCACTGGAATCAGCAATAACTGATTCTTTTCAGCAGAGGGTGCTCCTGTATGTGGAAGAGTTTTGAGCCATTTGTACCATTCGCCTCGGGCTAGAAATCTCTTATGCTGAGGTGGAAGTGCGGTTCTGAGCATTTGAAATGTATATGGTTATTTTTCTGTAGTTTGGTTTGTAAGGGTTAGTTATATTTTTACGAGGTTTTCAATGGTTCTCTAACTGATATCAGTCCGTGATCAACTCGTAAAAACATAGCTAACCCTTACAAACCAAAACTACAGAAAATTAATCTGATGCTCGTTAGTGACTTGCTACAGGATGGAGTTTCCTGGAGTTCTAGTGAGGAGTCGTGACCAGTGAGGTTCAACCAGATGTCACGTGTGAGGATGGATGTCCCACCAACGACATTGGTTGGGGTCGCGCTAAATCACGAATTGGTCGGAGTTAGAATTCATGGTCTGGCCACTGAATCAGGTCCCAGTGGTTGAAGGGTATACGAGCTTGCCTTGTAACCGAAAGGTCCTGGGTTCGAACCCTATCAGTGGATGCGTACTGCCGATGAGTCCCATACTAGGATGAAACAGTTGGCTGTCCGTTACTCCCTGGTTTTCAATGGTTCCCTAAATGATATTAATCCATGATCAACTCGTATATGGTTATGTCGAGATGTCATTTTTAATGTGTAGTCATTCTAAAAATCTGTTAGTACCACTAAACACTGGACATAGAAAGTCATGCCGACTAATCATACACTCTACCCAACATTATAGAGGGCAAATATGATACTACCAACTTGATTGTAACCGTAATAAATATGCTTCAGACTCCACATTCCAGTGTATCGCACGATGAAACGACGCGTAAATGTGACCCAGTAGAGATCAGAAGCAGGTGTGGGTATATTAATTTCCATTTGAGCCTGTATCACTTTGATTTTCATTCACCTGAGTTGTGGTTTTATTATTATGACAGCTATAAAGTACATTACAAACGCATAACCTTGCATATCGGTAGTGTTAGATTATGAGTTAAGCCCTTGCTCTTGTTGTTCAAAAAAGAATGAATATATGACACAGTACCAACAAAATGCATGTGGCTAATTAGTTGACATGGCATACTAGGCTCGATAAGATTTTCTATGATCTCACCGAGTTTTTGGCTAGCGAAAAGAGGATGATGTGCTTGTTGCAACCTACAACCACCACAATCCATAAAGCACAGCATGAGTTGAAACTAGAAGGATATTTCCCTACACATTTCTCTGATTCATTCTTGTCAGTGTTCAGGTAGATGCTAGAAAATTACGTGTACGCAGAAGACCTGCCATTTTGTAATTGTGGCGAGTCGTTTGATTGGATTTTCTGCCAAAGTGATAATCTGGTTGGCGAAGTGGTTCTAATATAATTTATTCATACACATGTATATACACTCATATGCGTATTCACAAATACTGTTGCTGATTTGGCGATTAAATCCTACTGCATAGGATAATAAGTGGCAGTGACAATGCCGTCGATACATTGTCAGCGTGGGTACAACACCATGTAATCTTCAAAACTTGAAATACCTTAAGAATGGCAATACTTGCGACTGTGTGTGGAAGTGACATTTTCATTCACGTGTAGCATACTGATGAAGTAATTTCAGGCAGGGATATTCACTAGTGAGCGCAATAAAAGTTTAATTTTCTATTTGTGAATTGAGTAATGGACAGATTTAACCACTTTGGTTAAACAGGTACCGAATATGGTACAAGACTTCTAATTATCTGGTAGCCAAAAGCCACAATGTCCTTCATCTAAAACGTCATCTGCGTACCTATACTTCCGTCTCATCTTGCGTCTGCATAGTAACACTCCGGAAATATTTGACATGTAGGGATGTGGACAGCAGCATAATAAGGTTGTCCTGCAGATAAAACTGTGGAATCTTAGAATTAATGAAAATACATGCAAGATCAGATAAACTTAGAAATCTCAAATAACTGGAAAGTCGATTGAAGCGTTAGTAAAAAATTCAATCGATGAATAAGTCCTTGAAGTGCGAACTCGATGAAATGTTTTGTTTCCTGACAAGCATCCAGTCATACTAGCTCGGGTGACGAACGACTTTATGGTATATCCCCTTATTGAAGTGACTTCACCTGCTTCACCTTGACGGCATTTCCGATTTTTATTTGATCCGAGTCGGGGCTAGTTTGCATAGTTTTATTTAAGCAGATGCAGTTGACGTGATATGGGTGCTTATTTGGCTCTTGGGTGAATTTATATAAGAATTGTTGTCTGATACTGTTCCTGAGTATGGACACATTGCTTTTGCAGTAGGACGCTTAAACATGTGATTCATGCAGTGATTACTTGGTGTACCTATTATGCTTTGCGTACATTTCGGAGACTGGCCTTTGAGAAATTTCTTTGCAGCTTGGTGGCAACCTTTACTAGGTCATAAATTTTCCAATCAGCTGTTGTGCAGCACCTATTTCTGCTGCAGAAACCCAAGAATATGGTTGATATCGAATTCGTGCTTCTGTACTTTCGCGTGTTTCGATTGCTGAAAGTGAGTGGAATTCATAAATAAAAGCAAAAATAAGTGTTCACACTTGGCCAGGAACTGCATTATGTTCTACCAACACTTGCAACATTCACCATATTCTCCCGAAAATTTTAACTGTGTTAAATGCACACTACGTGTTCCAATACTTTGCTAGATATGAATTACTTAAACATATTCGTGATCAGTTACGAAAGGGGCGTCATTTTGTGCGTCATTTTGTTCTATTATGTTGTCTGCCCTCATAAAACTACCCTTTTTGCTATTATTCCGAAGCTACATATGCGCTTGTACAACGACAATTCGCAGAATTATCTTGGAGTCATGTAGATGTAGTGTCCAAAATGGATGTAAGATTAGAAACATTTGCTATATCCACTTCTGTCAAAACACATTGACTGATGTAATCGCACACTTATATAAACTTCTAGTAATTCCTACAGTGTAAACTCGTTAATTATTATATTTTATAGTGATATTCATGTATACATCCTGTTAAGCCTGTTAGTGATCGTTGCTGAAGAAAACAGTTTCCAGTATCGTTGATTTTGTATTCTATGTCGGCCACCATACCTCACTCAAGACAGCATCATTATACAATGGAGATGTTTTTCAGAATGATCGCACAAATTATTAACAAACAGTATGTATTATCCAATTCAAAGTTACCTTAAAGGGTCCGAAGTTACTGGTGCTCCACTGAGCAGTGATAATCTACAACGCACCTGCCAGATACGAAAATCCAATAAGAGCTAAAGTAAGTAGATCAGATCTGCACTAATAACCAGACGGCAGTCAGTAACTTGGAAGTACGAATTACGGACATTAATAAATGAGAGACGGGAGGTTATGGTGACGCAGTTGCCTAAATTTAGGGAATCTGTCTTCCGAGAGTTGTGGAATTAGTAACCAAAAACTTTAAAGTCTTCTACTCCATCAAAAAATGCCTCTTATAGGTAATTACCACCAACGAAGAGTACTATTACGGTCTAGAGTGGATGGCAGTGACCTCAGGTGGCCGATATATCTACCAATCAGAAATGTGCTTGATGCTGGTAGGTCAAACTTATCCATTCTACTTAGGTTTCGCTCTCATAAACTATTCAAAGCAACTGATTTTGGAAGCCCTGAAATATAGCAACAATTCCACTGCAAAGAAGAAGCAAGCAAGATAATAGGAATACACAAAAACTGATGAGTGATGGAGACACTGGCAAAACTTTGGGGCATGTGTACATATGAATTCCTAAAACGTACAGAGACTCTGGCATTAGCAAGCTAACCTTTAATTTGGTCATACATCGCACCACATATCCTCTTTCTGCTTGTAACAACTAAATTCTCTCATGGAAAACGGATTACTACCCAGGTGTCTTCTTGTGGACAGATGTAAATATAAGAACAAATTAGTTCAGCGAAGAGTCTCTTTTCGGCGAATTCATTCACTTAGCTGTACAGTCGCAAATATATATACAATTATTTTGTGTGTGTGTGTGTACATTAGGTTTGTCAAAATGTATGTAAATGTATGTATGTAAATATCGCTCGGTACAATGAACCCAGAGCTCTGCCTAATGTTATACAAGTGTGAGAAAATGATACGTATAGATTTAAAAAGCCTCCTCTACACTCTTGATGATGGGTCCAAAACATAAATACAGTTACACCGAAATGTTACAAGATCAAACTGTCAAACAAATGGAGTGGCCAAGCGTTTTACTGCAGTCAAATTTTTCCAAATGACAAAAATCAGTTGACTGAAGGTATTGTCTGGCTAAAATACCGCAAAATACAGTGAAGTTATTCCTAGGACAGCGTGGCATGAGATGATAATGCTGTAGCCGCAAATGATTCCCGAGAATTATCAGACGACAGAATTCTTCACTTAGCAGCAGATTCTGACCTTCACTGTTTAAGTGGATTCCTTAAGTGAAGGTATCCACGCCCTTCGGCGCACTGTCGAGTTATATTCGGTTCTTGCACAGACTCTAGCTAGTTAAGCTATCGTCATCACTCGAGGCCTTTAGAGCTGAAATATAATTTTTGTTTTGACGATCAGTTTTCTGTTCCGATTCGCCTCTAATCTCAGGAGAACAAATACTTTAGGAGTTACAGTATTAACGCCTGTGTTTATGTACAAAGTATTTTGCGTTACCGTCAAGATCCATCATCTCCCCTTGGCTGTAAGATTAAGGTCCCTGGTCTGGTAAACTTCTGCATAGTTCGTCCCACCACTCGACTGTTGTAGCTCTGACTGACTCCAGAAGGGATAGCGCTGGGACTGATTATATGTAATTTGCAGCATGCGGTGTGTTAAGACCGTGTCACTACTGTGAATAGAGTTGATCCCTTTCACCCGTTAGTCGTCCGGTGTGGTCGAAAAGAGAGATATCAATGGTAAGAACAGATATAATTAGTGTAGATTTAAGAAGAAAAAGAGATAAGACGGAAAAACAGATCAATAATGAACTTTGAAATTGATATATATGTGGTGACAGATGGTTGCTAGCCAAATTGGTTGACAGTAATTGAGGTCAATGTTTATGTATTAGTCAGGTGAAAACAAGGTCAAGATGGACAGGCGGATACAGTTAACATATAGATGAAATGACACAGCCACAAGAGATGCAAGGTTAACTTTGTGTGAGAAACAACCAATCAACAGACTGTATCTTCTTCTAACATTAACCTACAATAATGTACATCAAAATCTATAAACATGTGTTGATTTTCCGTAATAAACGTTCTGTTGCCAGGCCCTTGTCTTCTGTTGTTACATACATATATATATATATATATATGTATATATAGTGCGTATATGCTTACAAATAATAGGCGTAAGGGACGTAATAGTTGGAGTAAGTAATAGTTGGGGAGAGACATGAGAGAACGTGAAGAAGTAAAACGGTGAGTTTAAATGTCTACACATTGATAGTGTATGAGATCTTAAGGGGATAGACCATTCGGACGCAGTCCTTGCATCGCTGTATGACTGTCCAGCCTTCGCTTAAAGCTGTCCACGGACAATGCAGTAGCCCCATCTGCCGGTAGAGAGTTCCATGGGCGACATACTCGAAATGAAAAGAAGTGGGAGCGCACTCGAGTCTTCGGCCTCTGGTGAGCTATCGTCCAGGGACCCAACGAGGAGGTCTAGACGTACTTAATGGCAGAATACCTTTGTTTGGATGATTCTGGTCATTTGCAATCTAATAGGCAGTAATTAAGTTCTCCTTAAGCCCACGGTAGCTGAGTGTGAAGAGACCTAATTTCCTTAGCCGCTCATTATATGGTTTTTTGGAGACCCAACATCCATTTTGTTTCCCTATTTGGACTCTTTCCAAAAGGTTCGCGTCTCTTCTAAGCAGTGGGGAGCAATGATATTGTGCACTTCAAGGTGTGACCATGAGTATTCTTTGTACAACCTTAGAAAGAGCTAAGGAGTGGACAAACTTAACTGTCTATGTATGAAGGGTATAAACGCATATGCCCTCGCTACATCGTCAGTGTAATTTATGCTTGTGTCCATTTTTTCCGTTAAAACTAGACCTAAATCGCACTCGGACGTTGATGAAGAAAGTTTTTGTGATTCCTCTCTACTGATGCTGTTTGGTATGCATTACTAGTCACATGAGTCTTAACTACACCAAGTATTTGAAAATGCCTGAAATATACACGTATTCCTCTACATCAAAAGTTACACGGAAACACGCTGACTGTATTGGAACATTGAAATGTGTCCTTAGGAAAGCGCCAGAAACGTTAATATTTATGCGGGATGCAGGTTGGAACTGCTACATCGATTTTAAATCCAACCTCGGAATATTTAAATAGCCAAGGAACTTGGGTTACGTATATTTTAGTGATCTTAGTTGTACACTTCATCTTGCTATGTATACCATTCTTTACCACGGCTGTCGTCTGGACACTAACTTGTACAATTCACAATGTGGTATGTTTTTCTGACTTCTTGAGGTTGTATTTATTATTGCTAATGTTCAGACTTAACGAGTCTTTAAGTATCCTAATAAATCTTAGTAAATACTTTATCTGCCACCACAAGTTGTGGTAATCATGAACAACTAAGTGTTCATCATTTCGACCACCAATTACGTTTATAATGGTTTGGGCATTTAAATTCTAAAAAATTTGAAATTGAACTACCTTTTGACTGCTTCACATTTCACTCAGTATTGGGCAAGCAAACATAAAGTTCATAGGACCACAAGCTGTTTGTTGTTGAGGCATATAACTGAAGAGTGTAGGGTTTATATTTTCTACTCATAATGGTTAAAGCTAATGAGAAAGCCTGCTACTGAATGAGAGATGTTCTCCCTTAGCTTAAGCTACTGCGTCTTAGGTTCGAGATCCACTCCACTAGCATCATCAACCCTCAGATAATGCGTGGCACACATACTGCAACTGAATCCTAATCAGCCAACTGTTTTATGTAAATGACAATACACTATAAACAGTATATTGGTGGAAACATAATGAACTATAAATGGATAATACATATAATAATAATCTTTGCTTATACTTTGCAGTTCAGATTACTGACTTAATAAGTTTCTAAATTCTTTTCTGACGTCTGACTCTTCACACAAAACCCGTGCTAAATATGGTGGTATGGTAGAATTTTTATATTTAGTAGCTGGACGAGCATAAATTCTTATAAAGTTCCTTGTGGTTTAACCCCCCCCCCCCCGAAGGGATACAAGGGAAAAGCTGAGAATAAGTCGAGAAGATGTTTGGTAGCACACAATATATAACTTAAGCCAACTGCTTACAAGAATTAAAATACCTATGAACAACAATGTCAGTTAGCTGAGTCAAAGTCACACCAGTAACCCTACATACAGTCTTCAGTGTTCTACATAATACGACAAAGTTTTTTTTGAAAAGCCCAGGGAAGAATAGTGGCAAACGGTAAAGGAGAATGGGCGGAATAAATGATTTAACAAATTTTACGAGAAGAGGTTGAGTTATACCAGCAGAAAATCTCAAATTCGTTGTGCAATAAGTCAAACAAAAAGTAGCATTCTTTGAAATCAACAGGATGTGAGACGACCAACAAAGATTCGAAGAGAAACTGATACCGAGATGAGAGATATTCGATTTAAGATATGCATATCTGCACCACTGAGAAACATTTTAAGGCATACCATTAACAGTCCCCAGCCATTGGTTCTTAACATCCCGAGATCCTTTCTAGAAAGTAAGCAATTCGCATTCGACAGGCATATGGACTCATGTGAAAAATGGGCCAAATCCATTTTATCTAACTCACACCACCCTCTTCACTCACAACTCTCCCTTTGCATCTCATCAGGTAAAGCCAGAAGCGTATATAGAAAACTATATGCTAGCACCAGCAAGTACAAAAACTCAACCATACGCTACTTAGCTCGTGTTCTGTGTGATAGAGAAAGCATTAGGTGTGACACCTATAATTCATTAAATAGTCAGTAGAACAACTGGATCTCGTCTTTCCAACTCATATCATTTATAGGTACAACATTCTCTTTCTTTCTTTTCCTTTTCTCTCTCTCTCTCTCTTTTTCCATTATGCGCTTCTTTGTTTCTTTCTCTCGCTTACGCCAGTAAATATGATAGCACCTACTTTTCTAACACCTTCAAACACCGACATGCTAATGTGTTATTGTAATAATGAACTGTGATTTCCTTAATCTATGTAGAATTCTATTTATTGATAATGTACTAACTGGATGCAATACTGTAGTAAAAAATGCTGAAAATTCCATTCTGTATCACAAGTACTGTTTTGGAATAAAGCAAATTATTATTATTATTGCTTATAATATTTTGACCATTAACTAACAGAACTCTTTTATTTTGTCTATAGGTTATGTACCGTCTACTGCATTGGGAAAAAGGCAGTCCGTATGAAACATTAGACCAAGGGGAATCACGTGTTCTAACTCAATGGGAACAATTTGATGATGGTGAACAGTTTTCACCGACAAAGAAATTCTTGTTAGTTGTCCCAATTGTTCTGTAAGTGATCATTATAAATCTTATATAGCCTAATCCGTTTGTTATGCTGTGAATAATTATAAACTATTGTTTTCAAAAATAATAAATGCTATAATTAATGTTAGAAATGAAGGAAAGTATCGCTATACAGAATGACATAGAAAGTAGTCAATTCTCCATCTTGAAAAAGGTGCGATAAAGGAGGCAAATCATTAGTGTTAGATAATTCTATTCATTACTGTACTTTGCTGTAGGTAAGTTTTCGTCAGTCGCCTACAACAAAAGAAGTTTAGTGTCAGAATATTCTTCCTAATCAACTTCCGAATCTTTTTTGGTGATAGGAATCCACTTTTATTTTTCTCCTTTGGCACTGTGAGATTTAAAAGGATTTTCAGTTTTAACCTTATGAGTAACACTGCAAACTAATGTTGTCATTGACCGACGGGTTTTAACGTAGAACTTTGCACAGATTTGCAGCAGTTCGAGTTGCCACTCTCCCTCCATTTAGCACACACAGTAAGAGAAGAGAGAGAATAAAGAAAGATTCAAAAGAGAGATAATAAACAGAAATACTAGGCAAGAAGAATAGTAATATGGAAGAAGATGTTGTCCAGAAGGACGACGAAAGCTTCGCAACTAAACCAACCAGCTCAGAGAACACTTTTAATTGCAGAATTTTATTGAATATGACAAATCACAAAGAGTGAATGCATCTACGCCAGCCATTAAGAACAAGGATTTTGAGCCATATCGCCACCAATGGTCTTCAGTCTTCATTGGTTCTTATCATCTCGAGGAACCCAAACAGTCAGGAAGTCTGCATCTCCCTGCGTAGCTTAAACTGACTGTTGTGGATTTCATTGACTGATGAAACCAAATTTTGATTTGACCACCACTTTCTCTTTTGCAACCTGTTCCGTCCTATATCAGTTAACATTGCCCATTGTCGAGGAAGGCGGTGGCTAAGACATGCGTAACACATGTCCTAACCATCTCAATCGTTGTAACTTCACATCCTCGTCTATTGATTTCCCCGCCCACCTACCTAGCACTCGACCGGTGCTTAACCTCAATATCGCTGACTTTATTACACCACTTAACACGGGTAACATCTTTCTACAATCGCATCGATGTTGTAGAGTCTTAGAAACACTATTTTGGGACTTTATACGCTCCAGAATCGGCGCTTGCTAAATCCACATGTTTTTTTCAAAACAATTTAGTCTGATGTCTATTTGCACTTTTTAGATCACGAATATTAGCGAGTTCTTCGTTCACTGCTTTGTCCAGACGAATCCGTCTTGCACGTTGAATTCATTCTCTTCTTCTGTTGTCTATTTTTGCATCGAGTCATTTTCTCTTTCACCATCTTCCTCTCCTCTCTTCTATTATCTTCCGGGTGACCATAGGGAGCCATTCTTTGCCTTGCCGCTTTTTTCTTAAAACGACTGTACATTTTTCCTTGAACATCACCTTCAGAAAGTTAGTTCCAATGTTCTTCCACACTGGTTTCCTCAGTAATGCCACATAGTGTCTCCGACTTTTCTCCAGTGACTGCAGTAAAAACATCCTTCAGTTTCTGAGTGTTGGACTTGAACTGTGGCCTATCTCAAGTTGTTCTGAAAGCTTTTAGCTTAACCTTGAAGCCTCCTTGAACTAGATAATGGTCTGAGCCCACATCTACTCCCCTTCTCGACTTTGTGTCCAGTAGGCTTGCTGTATCTCCACTTCCTTGAGATTGATATGAAATCCATCTAGTTTCTGGTGTGTCCGTCAGGTGAAATCCATGTTGTTTTGTATATATTTTTGTGCTTGTACACGCTGTCTTAAATTATCAAACCAATGAAGGGGCAAAAGTCTGCGAAGAGTTCTACGTTCATGTTCCTTTCGCCGACAACCTCACAACCCATGATGAATCTTCTTCCTGTGTTGTCTGCTCCCAGGTCCGCATTCATGTCACAATTTGGGATGTTGTCCGTTACTGTTTGCAGTTGTCTATAGAAATCTTCTTTCTTTTGTTCCGAGTGGTTTGTTGGTCCGTAGCGTTGGATAACTGTAACCTTCCTTCCTTCCTTTTTCGGTTGGATTTTGCTATCATAATCGTGGAGGAGATTGGTTCTCACTTCGTAAGAGCTTTTGGCTACCGTTGGTGACATCATGACAGCCATTCACTGCCTCAGTGTGCTTGTGGGTGTTGTCTGGGTGGCCGGAGTAGATAACTAACTCTCCAGTTGACAATCTCAACAACGCACACTCATTCCATCTGCTCTCGCAGATTTCGAGCACTTCTATACCATATCATCTCATTTCTTTGGCTACCTGGGCAGCTTTCTCAGCTTCGTCCGTTGCACGAACATTCCACATCCCAATGCTTACTTTTGCTGTCATTGAAGGGAGACTCATCGCCTGAGGGACTTCTCGAAGGCTTTCACTAGCCCGCGTCATTTTGCCTGTCCTATTCACTGCTAAGATTCAGTTTGTTTTTTATATTTTTGTTGTGCCTTAAAATTTCTATAGCAGCTGGGTTGGTTTTTCGAGATAGGATCGGTAGCTCCACACCCAACCCTCCCTCTTTTCCTGGTCTTGGAACTGGCTAGAAAACTAGTTCCACTAGAAAATCTTGGGTGAATAAAAGGAGTACAAGAGAAAGAAACGAAAAGAAACCTTGCCTAATTTATTCGCTCGCTAATTTTCTAGCCGGTCCCAAGCCCGGGTAAAGAGGGAGGGTTGGGCATATAGCAACCCTACTCCACAAAGCCAATCAAACTGCTACAGAAACTTCAACGCACAATAAAAATATTAAAAATACAAAAATAATAAGTAATAGAATGAAACAAAAGAAGAGAAATAGTTAATAGTTAGGTAATAATTAATCTTTTATTTATGTAACGGAAGTAGGGCTATTAACTTCCACTAGTAATAAATATCATCTCTAGTCAAAATGGAGTATCATATGACAAGGAGACTATTGATTGTAATGAAGATCATTCATTCATTGTTACAACCATTGTATACAATCCTTTTCTACTTAACAATGTTGTTGTAAATTTATTTGTCACTCATTATCTTTAAGCTAAGCATTCATTCATAAGATTACTCATCGCCAGCATTATCATTAAAAGGCTTACATGTCTGGTATTTTCAAAATTTACTCTGTAAGAATTTGATATGTTTCAAATTTGACCACGGATTGATTTCAGTTAGAGAGAACCACTGAAAACCAGCTGGGAGTACTGGGCAGTTGTTTCTGTTCTCTTAGTTTGTTACTCATCGGCAGTACGCCGGCGGGGGGGTCTACCCGATCAGCAGTGAGGACAAATATTCCCCGATGACATTTTAGCTGATACCAGTCGCGCTAAATTAGTAGAAGTTATAATTCATGGTCCACTAAGTCCGGCCCCTATTGGCTGAATGGTCTACGAGCTCGCCTCACAATCGGAAAGTCTTGGCTTCGAACCCTGTCTGTGGGTGCGTACTGCCGATGATTCCTAAAAATGGAATTTGTGTACACAGAAAAAAAGGGACGGTAGTGAGTCTTACACTACACTTACCTTAGTAATTAAACTTACAGAAGAATGTTACTCAGTTTCGATTGCGTCATGTATTCTCTGTTTATAAAGTTTCATTAGTCCATCAGAACGTGACTCAGCTTACTTCCTATTTTTGCTACTTCATAAAAAAATTTTTTGTTCTTGTAGTCATGTAACCTGGTGTATTATACTTTGTTTCTACCCCCCCCCCCACCAAAAAAATAAAAGTAATCTTGAACTCTGTCTTTTTATTTTCAAGAATATTCGTCTAATTGTCGCATAAATAGTCAGACCTTTCAAAACGCTTAAATAACTTACGTCATTCCCCGGATTGTTGTTGCTACCTGTCATACTTCTTATCCGTAACTCCTTGTCATCGTGAAATAAAGTATTATTATTATTATTATTTCCTTTAGTTCCTAGAGGAACATAGGGCTTCAGCCATGCGTCTCCATTGCGTTCGATTCTCTGCTAGAGTTTTCACCTGGCTCCAGGTCTGCCCACATGCTTTCATCTCCTCTTCACATGATCTCCTCCAGGTCACCCTTGGACGACCAACTCGCCGCTTCCCTTTCGGGTTCCACTCGAGGGCTTGTCTAGTGATGTCACTTGCTGGTTTCCTCAGAGTGTGGCCAATCCATCTCCATTTTCTCCTGCCTATTTGTTTCACAATGGGTTCCTGGTTGGTTCGCTCCCAGAGATCTTTGTTGCTGATCCTTTCCGGCCATCTGATCTTGAGTATTGAGCGAAGACATCTATTAATGAAGGTCTGTAGCTTGTTTGAGGTGCTCTTTGTGACACGCCAAGTCTCTGATCCGTATAGTAGTACTGACTTCACATTGGAGTTGAAAATCCCGATCTTATTTTTGACGCTGAATGATGTTGTCCTCCACACAGACTTCAGAGTAATGAAAGCTTGCCTTGCTTTCCCGATCCTTGCTTTGATATCCTCGTCAGTTCCGCCTGTAGTTGAAATAATGTTTCCCAAGTAGGTAAAGGAGGTAGTTTCTTTCAGGTTTTTTCCATTTATGCTGATTGCTGTCTGTTGTTGTTGTTGGTGTTGGCCAGGGATCTTCATCACCTCTGTTTTTTCTATGTTCACCTGGAGTCCTATCTTTGATGCTTCTTCTGCCAACTTGTTACTTTTCACTTGCATATCTTCCAGTTTGTGGGAAATCAGACATATATCATCGGCGAAGTCCAGATCCTCCAAGTTCTTTGTGTGAGTCCATTTTATGCCTGTTTCCTCATTGCCCGCTGTTTGTCGCATTATCCAGTCTACTGCAATCAGGAAAATCATTGGCGATAGTAGGCAACCCTGTCTTACTCCTGTCTTCACTTCGAAGGATTCCGTGAGCTTCCCGTTGTGGATTACTTGGCATGCAGCGTTGTCATACAACTGTTGGATGAGATGTATAATTGTCGGCGGCACCCCGTAGTAGCGAAGTAGTTGCCAAATCACCTCTCGATCGACGCTGTCGAAGGCCTTTT